TTTGTCCACAGGAGCAGCTGGATTCATAGATACATACAGATGTGGCGATAACGGGTAACCTATCCTTTAGTTCAGGAATGCGAGAGTTTGGCTGGATAACGATAAACAGAAGTTAGCTGCTTTTTGAGTTCTGTTCAGTACATTGGTCGGTCTTTTTCGTAGCTCATCACCAGCTATATCCGTTGAATGGTAACTTCAAGAAAAGAAGTCTCCTACTAACTGTTGATGTCTCTGTTTCCCTGTTCATTACATGCAAGTCTTTCATCAGCAAACCTTGTGGATAATCCATAATTCTACCCTAGTTCCTTGTTTATAGTATGGTCTGAGCATATCTTCCTAGCCTTATCAGCAAGATATGTCACTCGTGAAATGTGTGTGCTGGCTTGCTGAAGAACTCTTGCTATACACACTTCTGTTGACGAGATCATTATGTTCTCTGTGTGATAAAATGTCGAGGAAATATAGTTTGTTATCAAGTTCCTCTTCACAAATAAATCTGATTGTTCAGTGCTTATTGTCGAATGGCTCTAAAAGATATTCTTTTCCACTATTCTTATCAACAACAATGGAATCATTATAATTGTATTAGCAATAAAAATTAAGTTTTTCAATAATCTCTTTAAAAGGTCTAGTTTCTAGTTTCTCAAGAAAAAAGTCCTCAAGGACAGGACCCAGAGGTTAACCCATCGCTATTCCATTAATATTATCTGTTATTAAAGACAAAACGAACGTTCATCTTACATTTCAAAAGTAATTGTTTGAGACTAACCTAGAAAATTTCAATATTGTGTCACTATGTACCGACTTGACTTCCTTTTATAAGTTTGGTTATATTGGTTCTGTTTTTCATTCAGACCTTGAGTGAAACTGTTCAAATCCATGTTTAAACTTATGACATACTCAGTGAAAACTTTCGATAGTGCCTGCATCTTTAACAAGACAACATAGCCCCACAGATCTAGCGCCTTAGATAATATATCACGTAGGTTGATAATAACGTAAAAAACATTTCTTCGCAAAAGAATTTGGATGTTCAGTCAAAAGACAACGATACATGAAATACTTTTTGAGATGCCGTCCTCATGTGTGCCATTGTTTTGAAGTTATGACTTGTAATTCAACATGCATCATTTTGTTCCAGAAAGTACGGTAATTGGTTTCCATCGTTAATATATTGAAGATTACTCCTGTGACGAATTTGGATTTTCGCCGAAGTTTAGTCGTTATGATAGTTTAGATCACCTAACCATTTAATCTGGAGCTCAAACCACCTAGTTGACTTTTCGTTGGGATGGTTCTTTTTCCACAGCCTAGGCTCCCCTTAAGGTAACAGGAACAAAGACAAGAAACCTTTCACTTCTACACAAAATTGTGTCTACAGATTAGTTTATGTCGACTGTTACGAGTTCGACATTGGAGAGCCTTCCCGTAGGATCTCAACTCGCACCAAGGAATACTAGAGTTACAAAAACGACCTTATAATCATATAGTTTGATCTTGTGAAATTTTTTGTTTTGTTTTATGGTGTGATATGGTCTGGTCTTCATGTATGTTAAACATGTACCTCTGAAATATGTTATTCATACAGTGGAGTCAGATATTGTGTTATGGACTCAGCGGGTTGGGCTAGACGAGAAGTTTCTATAACGAGTACCAATAAAGATTCAAAATTGACTCAAGGCGGCTAGTGCTGGTTGATGTGTCACTGATTCAGCACAGGGCAAGGTCACATAATTCGATATTCTTGTCGGAGATTTTGTAAAAGGATAATTGACAGAGGCACACTTTTTGTGTGTGATTATAGTTGTAAAGGTAATAGCGTACGACTCAAATTGTCAGAATTTACATAAAACCATTCTATGAAAGTAACTCAATCATCACTTTTTGTTTCAACCTACACCATAATCTTTGATTAATATGATTTCCCACTAGTTCCAGCAGTTATGTTACATATCTATCACTAGAAGAATTCGGATGCTTTAAATAGTTATTACTTTATGGCTACTTCAATGATTAGTAACTGCAGAGTATTTACTTGATGTATTGCATCCCATGAAAAAAAATGAGAGAATTTCCTAATTATATATAACGAAGTTTGGTCGTAAATTCTTCATTTAAAGTCACTATTTAGATGTTTTTGGTTCAGGCTGTAGAATAACAGATTTTATTAATCTGAATAAAGTTAAATACACTCAGGTTTCACTATCGACCACCTCTAACCACCATCTCACCTCAACATAGTGCATACAATATCGAGTCACCTATACTAGTGGCCTCATTGCAACTTGTTCGATAGAATTAAATCAGAAGTAAGAAGGACATGACCTACATGACTGTTGTGAATGAAAACGTAGGTGGAGATGACCAAATCAGATTTTTTACATAACCTGACAGAGTCCTTGTTAAATTCTAAAATCTATACAGAGAATATTTCATTTGCAAATTTACATTATTTTTAATTTGCATTCTGTATGTTTCTTCCAATTCACAATTCCTTTCTATTTCCGTTTCTGTTCTCTTCAACTCTATCTTCTTAACCTTCTGTTGCCAGGTTTTCCACTTCCGATTGATAGAGCATACTACTTATAACGACAGACATAAGTAGCGTACACTACACTACTACTCGTTTACTCAGAATTTGTATTACCTAAAATTATCATCTCTACAACTAGGGCTTCCAATGTTCAAGTACACCCATTGACTTTACTACAAAATTTCAAGGCAATAGTAGTAACTAAAAAAACCAACACAAATTCAACATAGATGGTTAACAACTTATTTATTGGTAAGATATATATATGAACAATGAAATAAATCTTTGACTGTAGATTTGAACGCATCTTTTCACAAAAAAGTAATATGCTTGGAATGATTAGAGTATTAGAAGTGATCATAACACCGATCACCATGACGCGCAATGCTGACCAGTGTTGGGGAAAGTTGGAAGAACGTTAAGGGCGGCAAAACTAAAACCTGGCATCAGTCAACAAAGTCACTAACTTCTGGTATGAGCCATGTCAGTAGATCTAGACTACTTGGTTGGGGTTTGCATGACTATAGTAACCAATGGTTGACATAACACGGAATCGATCACAATGGCGTCGATGTATACACTCTCTATTTTTTGCCTTAAATCGTGAGATTAAAATAACTTTATACCCTTCTTTCTACGAACTAATTCTTTCTTCCTGTACTATATCCTTATATGCAATCTTTCTTTTATATATTACCACCATTGAATTAACTACTTCTAAGAATTCAGTGTTCATCTTGTTGTGCTAATGAGGTATGGCAACCTGGATCGATGCATATATATGCCTGGTCCTACATTGTAGCTGACTGACTGACTGAGAGTATTAGAAAATATCATTACTGGATCAAAAATAGTACATTCACATACATTTTATATCGCATTATTATTGTCCAGTAATAAATATAATACGAAATTTTACAATTATCTGAAATTAAGTTGTACAGTGCTATTAATTTTCAACGTGGAAGTATTAGGTCCTTACCTGAAAAGTACAAAGCATTTATTTAGAATGTTTCTAAATATTTTCAAAGAAGTTGAAAAGTTAATTAAAAAATATAGATCATTGTATATTCGACGAGACTATGAATTATGAACGAACCAATCAGATTTAAGATGATAGATCTCGAATTTTACCGCAAAATTCGTTCATCCATTTGGTTAACTAGCGTTTAAACATTTTAGCTTATGTCAGTTCGTGATGAAAACCTTAAATCTAATGCCTAACCTTAACCATCAACTGTAAATACAGTCTAGTTATTAGGTGGACACTCTCAAGGTCACTCTGGAGTCACACAAAGGTTATCCATAAATCATAGTCTTACCAGTAAATGAAACAACCGTCATATCATATTGTATTTAGAAAATTTAGAAACCAGAATATAGTGAGAATAATAGCAACAGCGATTCTGAAGACTCTCCCGGGCTCTCACATTGTACGAGTATTCTATGTACTTAAATTAATGATTGCTCTGGTTGTCAGAAGAGAAATCAGCCTAGTGACTCCCGAAATAACTTGACTTTCATTATGAGACGTTATAATTCTTCTAAATGAAGACCTTCTAATTCTCAGGGCAGAGTTTAAATGCTTTGAAATGCTTTTTCTGGTTAGGGTTTTTTAGAGAGTTGGTTTTCTACGGGATTGGGTCGCTTACGTAATGCCAAAACCTCATGCTTTATCCGGGCTTGGTACCGGCGACAGCCCCAAGGAATCCCAGGGTGGAATTGTGAGTTTAACAGGCGTTCATAAAAATGGGATTTCCTCAATCAGTATATGAAACTCTCAAAAAGTAGATTGGGGTGATTAAGTGATTAAGCACTGATTATTAAGTAAAATTTAACTTTTCATTTCAGAGGTGGCATAAAGTTAATTGGGTATATTTCCTTCAAAAGCTATTTTCCTTTGAACATAATGTCTTCAAGTTATCCTATAAAGATGAATTGCTTTATGTCTCCTATACTGACATTCATATATATATATATCGTTGTCAACGGATCATAGGCGAACAACAAAAGTGATCGTGAATCGAATGATGTTAGACTACCATTGAAAACCTGGAAGCAACGGATGGGCATTCTTCCTAGCACAGTACTCTCCAGCAGCGCGCATCCACAATCCTGATCTCGGGATTCGAACCCAGGGGCTTAAGTCTCGCGCGCACACACATAACCTCTAGATCACTGAGCTGACATCCGATGATGTCAATTTCTAACTTCAATCAATCGAAAAAATTGCACGGCCATCTTCCATTGTACTGAAGTAGATACCTGTCTCTACCTGACATGGAGTAGCTCCACTGGTCAAGGCTTCTCACTAGAACTCTGAGAATTTTCAAACAAACCTAATTACTAGTAAGCACATGATAATTATCAGTATAGGGTTGTGGAGATTATTACGTTTTTGATTGAGATCATGAACCGATTGATGTTATCATTTTTTATACTTTATACATATACATAATAAACGTACCTTGCAAAACCTTTAACATTAGGACATAAGATTTCCCCACTAAGTCTCGATCTTCCATCAGATACATTAAAACGAACTGGCAGGTCTTTCCTGGTACAATTCACAGTTGAATCTTTAAAGAATAAACCAAGCGTTCCATCATTATAACACTTGTACTAAATAAAAAAGAAATACGATTTTGTGAAATAATTCGGGAATAAATTAATATGAAAATACAATGAAACAGGTTAGATTAAAGATACTTTAAGGATTCTGAACGAAAGTTGTGGATTTAAAATATAAAGATATAACTGATATATTGCAACGCGAATAATGGATGGTTACTGTTGGGATCCATTTATAGACAAATCCTATACACATATTTTCATTGTATAATTGTTAAGTAACTAAATTATTCATATTCTTGTTCCTCTTATGATTAGAACTATTTTGACCCATAGACTATTATTATACGATTTACTGTTCTTGAGTTATAGTCAGTGTATTCATTAAAGTCTCCTGCATTCACAGTCACTTTTAACTTGGTCTTGTACAAATGTTATTTCCAATTTCATGGTACGATGTGATCTGTTTGATTGGTATATGAGCCCAGTATGTTTGAAATACATAATTCATATTGCAGAGGCTGAGATGTGTATTCTGAACTTAATAGGCAAGGATAGGCAGAAAGAAGGACTGGTAAAAACTCTAGACTGCTAGTACAGGTTAAGGCATCCGGTCTATAAGGTATGAGGCCATAACTTATAACAATAGCATGCATTTTCAGTCACAAAACTAGAAGCTGTTATATGTCTAATTGCTAGACAATATTCAAGATTGAATTATTATTATTATTATACTATGCTTCAGGAATTATACCCAGTTTTTAAACTAAGAGACATCTTTGTTGAACAACTTCATTTGAACAACATATCGTATAGTTCTTCTTATGATGAAATTTGAATTTTAGAAAACGCATCATTATTATACTTTAAGAAAAAGGGTGAAACAATTTATGGGTGTTGTTTACGACAAAAAGTGAATGTCTGGCGCTTTAACCGGGTCGCTGAACACGGAGGATTCACCCAGGGGAGTTGGAAAACCCTGATTCCAAACCAATAGTGCACATGGGCTCCAGGGTCCTGTAGGAACAAATGGCGCATAAACCAATCGTTGATCACTGGCTACCATAGGACTGCATCTCTCGACTTTGCTCCAGTGCCTGGTGGATTAAATCTTTAGGTCGAAAGCACTGGGTGTGGCCCCCTAATACATAATTCGGTCTGGGCACCCGGGCAATATCACAGCTCATGCACAAATCGAATGATCTATGCGGTGCACATCTATCTGATACCTCCTTGTACTAGTGTTTAGATAAAAATTTTAAATAAATGAGTTCGAAAATAGTATTTTTTTTAGAGTTTCGTGACTTTATATAAGCCACTTCCTCAGAGTGAAAAGACAATTTATTTATCGATGGAATAAAAAAATGTAATAATAAACAGATAAAAAAAGAAGTAGTTCCTGAATTTTCTGAAGTAAAATAGTGTTCAATCTCGAAAGAACACATATTCCAGATAACTTGAATGATTATTAAGCTATGTTACAAATTAATCTCGCATCAAGTCTGTGCGGTGTCGTTAGTAGTTCACACTGTGAAGATCGAATTCAAGACAAAGTTGTTCTGTTTTACATGATTTTCGACTTCTTTTCCGGTAATGCAAAATATCTAACATGAACTGATATTACTCAAAAGTTATCAGACGTTTATATCATTTTGAGAGTTTGGTTTTATCTTTAAAAACTCAGTAGATAACAGAAATATAAAAAAGAACAAAACTGTACCTTATGACAACTTCCTTTCAAATATGTCCCTAAAGTGTATATATATCTGTCAGTGTAAGTCCAAACACTTCGATGTTCAACACAAATTCCTTTTGATCCATATGTTTGATAGTATCGGTTAATGCCTTCACCTAATATAGAAGATGAGTTTTAAATAACTGATTAATTATTTCTTATCTATTCAGAACGGCTGGCTAAGTACACAGGTAGATCAACATGTAAATATCTGATTAGGAAAACGTAAACTTAAATTCACTTGGTATTGTTTACTTGAATCTTCTCAGTTAATATTTAGGACTGCAGTTGATTAATCTCTTATTGGCATATGAGCATACTGTGCGTGTCACCTCGATATTGTCTCAATTTACAAGAATTATAAGTAAAGATGGATAAAGGCTTGCAGTGGAATAGGGTGGTGACTTTTGAAGCGAACGGTACTGGGTTCGAGTCCCAGAGTGAACATCAACTCTGAGCTACAGATGCATCTAACTGACAAATTGGGAATAGGACGAAACGTGGGTCGCGGATTCCACTATTAATCACTATACATCTTTGCTTATAATATTAGGAAACATCTGTTTCTCATGGTTATTTAACTCTCGTATATTTTCTACATTTTACGAAACAATTTTAGAATTCTAATGAAGAGCATTGAATGTTTAGCAAAATGATACATAAGCCATTATAGATATGTTAAATACACCTAGAGTTTACTTTGCGTCCATGATGTAATGGTGTCTTTGCCATCGAAAATACCATACAGTTTCAAATTCTAAGTATAATACAATAAGTAAGTGTAATTTTCCATTCTAAAACCGATCCAAGTTGATTATTGAATCAATAAAAAGTACAATCAACAAACAAACATTAGAAAATCGCCTTAATTATTCTTCTCATGTAAAATATTTGATGGGCTAACTATATTTGTGAATAGAGCTTAAAACGCTGTTCTAACCAGTCTACTCAAAATTCTTCATTACATGTGTTCTGTGAATAGGTGATTCGATATATGATCATTTTATAAGAATTAAGTCAATTGTATTCACAGAATACTTGATCTATGATTGAGTAATTCAATGATAGGTTAACGAAGAAGTAAACTGAATAATGACTAGCAGTGGAATCCAAGACATGCGGTTCGTCCTATTCGTCAGCTGGATATACTTGTAACTTAGAGTTGATGTTCATTCTGGGACTCAATATCGACATCGTGGCAGTCCGCACAGGACGCACATATCCAACAAGAGACTGATCAATTGCAGTCCTAATTAACAATCAGACGATACAAAGTAAATAACATCAAATGAAAAAACTGGAATAATTAAATCTCAACTGGATGATTTTTAACAAATCTCCGCGTCAAACGTATAAAATATTTAACTTGGTAACTTATCGATGTAAGACTATAATTTATGGACGATCATTGAGTAATGCTGAAGTGACCTTCAGAATATTCACCTACTTAATAGAGCTAAATGAGGGTTATAAACCTGTGAGAAGAAAAGAAGATTATAATTTTCGTTTGATGGTCAGAGTTAGGAATTAGATTTAGGTAATTCACTACGAACTGACATAAACTAAGATGCCAGAACTCTATTTACTCAAATGGATGAATGAATTTCGTGCCGAAATCCAAGACCTCTTATATTAAATCTGATTGACTTGTTCATAATGTATAGTCTCTTCCTTATTGATGAAAGTATGCTTTTAAGCTAAACGTATACTATACTATACAGAAAAAAGTAAAATGCTTACGTGATAATTTCTCATTCTCCGAATGTGTACAGAATGATGTAGCTGAATATTCACTGCCAAACCTTTAACATACTACAAATTCCGGAAAGTAAGGTTAGTTCAAAATAATACATCATTATTATGAGGAGATATTTTCTTACAAAAATGGCGAGACTATAATTTATGGACGACCTTTGAAAGAATCTTGTATGAGCTTGAGAAATATTAGCCATTTTTAATATTTGAGATCATGAGTCAATTAAAGCTAGACCAACATGGAAAACCTAGAGGCAGGGGACGGCCGTTTCGTCCTAGTATGGGACTCCTCATCTGTGCTCATCCACAATCTCACTTCGCGAGATTCAAATCCAGGACCTATCAGTCTCGCGCGCTAGCACCTAGCCATTAGACCACTGAGCCGACATCTAACGTGATCGTGGATGCACACCGCTGAGGAGTCCTACAGTAGGACGAGACGGTCGTCTAGTGCTTCCAGTTTTCCATGGAGGTCTAGCATCAACTGACTCATGATCTCACTATTTAAATTACTATAATATTCACAAAACCCCTTCAAATATTAGCCAATTAGAAAACAGTTAGTATAGAGTAAAACTCTATTATATATAACCAAAGAAATAAAATGGATACACTTCTTTTATATGGTTGAGAAACTTGTCAAAGTTAGAAAGAGGTTCAGAGATTTTAAAATTGTGATCAATATAGTAGAGGAAATCATCCATATGGCTCTATAATTGTCGACCTATGGAGCCATGATGAATACGCAAAAACTTTCAGCCTCGATCACATAACTTCAGTATTGTTTGTGTGCATTCCGGTTGTTGGATCCACAAAATGCCACTTATGGATAACGACACGATGCACATAAACAAGTTTCTGTAGGTGTCTGTACGCTCTTCAATCATCCGCATAGATTGTGGTACCCAGTAGCAGCCAGTGTTACTGGTGCTTTTTATCCAGTTCGCAATGACTGTCATAATTTGCCTAACTCTCAATCTGGATAGAGCGAAGGAACTCCTATCACGTTTTCTCTAAAACCCGCTGTGAATCGATCGTACTTGAGTATCAGGTACTGAAATTGCTGCCGTGACTTCGAAATACCTGAAACGCTCCTAATTGTCTCGTCTATAAATTATAGTCTCGCCAAGTATTTTAAGTAGTACTGAACAATTTAAGCTATTTTAACTGTTGTTTATTCAAAACATCCAATTGTAATTTTCTATGTTAAAACAGTATCCTTTCCCACATATTAACTAATATAAGCTTCACCATATATCTTATTAAAAGTACTTGTTATTTATATAAATATAATTATGTAGTGGCTTTGTTTCGTTAATCGGTCACCCTTGTAAACGTTATTATATAAATTTCAACGGTGTTTGAAATTAGAAGCAATAAGAAGCGGAAACTACAGCGGATAACACAGATCACAAAGTTATAGGCACATCAAGCGAATTTGAAGCAGAGAGGCGTATATGTTTATGCGAGCAATTACATAGGCAAATTTATAGTCAAGTTGCATGAAGGCACAGCAAGACAAACCAAAAGTTAATAATGGATTTGAGTACATAAATACATAGGGATCAGAATGAATCATCGAATGATATTTTAGCAATCAACGTTTTAGCTAGAGTCTGTCATGTTCTCTAGTGATCATAACGGTACAATGAAATATGCGAATAGTTACTGTTCAAATAAGATTGTCCGTCAAGTAAATTAATAAAAGGGTCTAACCAAAGTGAACTATAATCGAGATTTGTTGGCGTTTGAAGCAAACAGTACTGGGTTCGAGTCTCAGAGTGAACATCAAATCTGAGATGCAGGTACATCTTGCTGACAAGTCGCAAACAGGACAAAATGCGCGTCCTGGATTCCACTAATATCCACTATCCATCTTTGCTTATAATGCTTGTTGTAGGGTAGTTGCTATATTTATATCACTTCAGATTATTTCACAGTAATAGTGAAAATATCTTTTTATCTAAATATGGTTCATTGTAAAACCTAAATATTTTCAATCATTGTATTCATGAGTCAATTGAAGCTAGACCACCATTGAAAACCTGGTAGGACTGGAAGGCAGTTTTGTCCTTGTATGGAACATTAACTGATAATATCACACATTAATAACGATGGTAATTCATGTTTTCTTCACAGATTCATACATGAAAGTTGGTACAGGCGAATAATTTTAAATTATAAATAGTTAATTTCTGAATATGGTCAGGAATGAAAAATGGTCATAAAAGTTGACTGAGAACCCTAGATCATAATACTAAACGTTATGAGGTGAAATATTCACAAGAATGTAGAGCAATCAACTTACAACCATTGTTGGACAATAATCTTTAAATGGATCTTCCCCACCGAAATATTCAGGACCATATTGGGCATCAAATGGGGCTTTTAGGAAGAAACGATCTTCTATGGGAACTGGATTATGATATCTCAAAATACTACATGTTCCATATGAGAATGCATCCCGACATCTTGCTTCATTAACAGTGTCACAGAATGGGATAAATTTCCTGTGGCTTAACGAAGAAAACAATCAATTAGTAATTTCATTTTTCGTCATGTGTATTTATTAAAAACAATTTACTATGCCATCAACAAACAAAGTATTATGTTTGAAGTTAAATATCAACAGTAAACAGTCCGAAATTTCATTATGCAGTGTTTCAAGTGATTACGAGTTCACTTTGTCTGAAAATGGAACAAAGACTCTGTGACCAAAGACCAATAAGTTAGCTATTCTGATGCGTCACATCCCAGCTAACTAGAGAGAGAAGTTCATGTTCGAAACAGGGAAACATACTCCGCAAGCAGCCAGAAGCACAAGAAATAATAACAGGTAAAAATCAAACACATATATACATCAATGAATTGTTCTTGGGAAGCGTTACAAAATAGAATACTAAATAACGTTTAAGATCCTCGAAAGTGGGAAATCTGACATAAAGGTAGAAATGAGCGCTTTTGGTGTGAAAACAAGAAATTCAAATTTTTAAAGCAAATTTAAAAAAATAGGATAGTTACCAAATAAGTTCTGGGGATCAAACATCCCCAACACATCAGGTAGTTAATCTTTGCTGTTCTATTTCTACTTTATGGTATATTGAAAGGTAAGAATTGTTGATAAATTGATAGACATCTAATATGCCCAAAAATATAAATATTAAGGAATGGATCTGAACTAATAATTACCACTTGAGATCGCATTATGTAACTTTGAATTACTTGATTTAGTAATTATCACATGGCAAACAAGGGCTGTAGTCTTACAATTAAAGAATATATGCAACTCAAAACAACTGTCTGTAAATAATATCAAAGTCACAATCTTCAATTAGAACGTCAAAACAGTCAGTTCTACTGTACGGAGCTGAAACTTGGAGAACTAAGACAGTCATCATCAAGAAAGTACAAGTATTTATAAATAGTTGTCTACACAAGATACTCAAAATCCGACATTGGCCGGATATCATCAGCAACAGCCTACTGTCGGAAAGAACAAACCAGCTTCCAGCTTAAGAGTAAATTAGGAAAAGACGTTAGAAATGGATAGGACATACATTATGGAAATCATCAAACTGCATCACGAGGCAAGCTCTCACTTGAATCGTTAAGGGAAGCGGAAAAAAGGAAAACCAAAGAACACAATACGTCGGGAAATAGAAATAGGTATGTAAAGGATGAATAACAACTGGAAAGTAGTGGAAAGAATTGTTAGGGACAGGGTTGGATGGAGAGTGTTGGTGGTTGGCCTATTATCCTCCACGAGGAGTAACAGACGTAAGTAAGTAAGTAACATATATTTTGTCGATTAGACATATGAATTTATTGAACAAAGAATAATATCATAAATTCATAATGGAAATGACAATTGACTTACTATTGTCGTTTAATTTCAGCATAGTCGAAGCAACTTTTCATGCTAAAGTCACATCCTAATTGTCTACCATATTCCCATTTCATCGCTTTTGAGTAATCAACAGTGTACCAACTTGAAAATGACATAAAAGAATTTATAAAGTCAAATTCCACATCATTAACGAATGAATAGTTATAATGAAAGTTAGTACAAGATACACCAGAGGGTGATATAAATAATACAAACTACTAAGTAAAGATAATAGTTAATTTATAGTTTACTTTTTGGATGAAAAGTGCTGGTGGGCGGCCTGTACTCTACGAGGAGTAACAGGCGTAAGTTAGTAAGCAAGTAAGTGAACAAGCGAGTAATTAAGTAAGTATAGTTTGTTTTATCTGAAAGTGAGTGATTACCAGATAACTTCAAAATGAGTGTTTGAGACAAGCGGGAGAAAAGGTGAAAACCAATGGACGTGATGAAATGTAAATAGTTTTGAGAAGAGTTGTATTGCATAACAAAATTAGAGATTTTTTAATAAAGATATTTTTATTAAGGATAAACCTGTCATTTGTTTACATGGCTAAAGTATGTGCAAAACTATTGTGGATTTGGTATGGCGGATGTGTCGCTCAATTTCATGAATTAGTTGAAGTTAGATATTAACACCATTAGATGCCGACTAGCTCAGTGCCGAGGAGTTTAAGCGTACGTGCGCGAGATTGATAGGTTCTGGGTTTGAATCCCGCGGAACGACGTCGTGAGTAAACAGTGCTGAGAAGTCCCGTAATAGGACGAATTGGCCTTCCAGTGTTCCCAGACTTTCCATGGTGGTTTAGCTTCAACGGACCCATGATCTCAACTATTGAAATTACTACAATCTACACAAAACCCCTTTCTGATATGAATGAATCATTTAATGTACTTTGGTTTGGAAAATATTTTATATTCGCTTGATGAGAAATATGAAACTGAGTTCAGAAACCTTCAGTCTGTTCAGTTATTTCCATCATGTCTCTGAGCCAACGTTGGCGTTTACGACAGTGTTCTATCCCGACTAGAATAATGAATGGTAACTGTTGGGATCCATTTATAGACAAATACTATACGCATATTTTTATCGGATAATTGTTAAGTAACTAAGCTATTCATATTCCTGTTCCTCTTATTATAAGCTCTATTTTGACCCATAAACGATTATTATACGATTTACCGTTCTTGAGTTGTGCCCAATTTATTCACTAGTCTCTCGCATTCAAAGCCACTTTTAACTTGGTCTTGTACAAATGTTATTTCCAATTTCATGATATAATGTGGTCTGTTTGGTTGGTATATAAACCCAGTATCATATCACGGACGCTTAGACTGGTGTTTTGGACTTAACCTGCAGGGCTAAGCAGGAAGAAGGACTGATAAAGACTGTAGACTCCTCGTACTTGTTTTATGCGTCATTAGTCTGGTCGATTAATCACTGTTCTTTAATTGGCGGTGTCATTACGTCACTTATTGATAGGGGCACAATTCCACTAGTTATAACAGACAAAAGTGGGTTCATAGACTATGCGATTCACTCGGTTTCTCGAAAAAATGTGTCGTAAGGTAACACTTACAATAAAGATGGACCGTCCGTAACATTAATCTCACTGAATATATAAATATATATTGACTATGTCAGTTTGTTACTGACTTCCAATAATATTTATGAACACTTTTCATGACTACACATAGTTTTGCATAAAAGTTACTTAGGTTCGAGAAAGGACTTAATCCGATTGTTTAAGTTTTTGATATTTCAAAGTCCTGGACGAAGAATCAAAACACATTTATATCTTAACTAATGAGGGTTGACAACTATATATATTCAAACATGTTTAGCCATATCCGTTTAGACTGCTTTTAGTAATATCCTTCCAAAACCCGCAAACATAGGCTCGTGGAGTCCAGATTTCGAAATCGTTGACGAAACCAAATCTATTTTCAGAAATTTTGAACGATGACGGACGTTATTCTTTTACATCCATCGTTGTAATAAAAAAATACGTAATTACTTTGTCTAACTTTGCTTACCCCGAATCCTCAAAGAAGCTAAGAGTAACACGCGATACAGAGTAATCAATTTGTATTCTTCCAGCCATTATTTCGCTCTGAAACCGAAGATGACAATACACTACATAAATAATGAAGCAACTAACATTTATGGTCATAAAAGAATACGGTTTTTTAAGCTATATTATTCTCAATATTATTTACGTTCTAACCTTTACTAAAAAAGGGTATTTCTTTAGGCACGTATCCTACTACTAATAATAAATGAAAAGGCTCTGCTTATCGTGCTGAAATGTGATACTTTGTTCAAATGAGTAATTAATGATGATTGCAACTGGATCCAAGACCCACATTTCGTTCTATTTAGGATTCGTCAGCTGGAAAAAAACATCAACCCTGTGATTCAGGTACATCCAGCTGACGAGTCCCAAATAGGACAAAACGTGCGTCACAACGTCACAAATAACTATCACTCTTGACGAAAGTCTAATATCACGGTAATTGTTTAACATGTTGACTTAATCCCTTAATACTCTTAATTTAATGCAAATAATTTCAGAAATAGCGAAATACATTATTTTGATAGTTCATTTTAAACAAATTTTTAAACAATGTTTCTTTATCACACAGATTAGGAATGTATAAAAGTCATATTCACACTTCAGTAAACTCACTGAATATGTTCTTCCCTCCCAATGTGATCCTATCGGTCCAGTTTGGTGTTGATTTTCCAAATCTGCTCCATCTAACCGGGTACAACTGAAATGTTTTCTTGCAGCGTTCTAAATATTGTAAGTATGTATGTTTTGATTTTTTTTTTAATTAAAGGAAGAGAAACCCAGAATAATTTTGTTTTTGATTTAGATCATGAATCGATTGATGTTAGACTTCTGTTGAAAATCTGGAAGCACTGGATGGCCAGTTGGTCCTATTGTGGAACTCTTCAGCGGTGTGCACTCAATATCTTGCATTGCGAGATTTCAATCCAGGACCGATAAGTCTCTAGTTCGAACGCTTAACCTCTACGACACTGAACCGACCAGCCTCCATCACTGTTAATGTCTAACTTCAAATAATCCAGGAAGTTGTGCCACCGTATACCATTGTTTTCAGCGATTTGCTATCTCACAACGGAATCGGTTGACCTTTACTGATCATCGCTTCTCACTAGAACTCCAGGAAATACCTCTTGGTGACCGTCACAAGTGAGCATATTTTGATAAATATCAGAGGTCGTTTTTATAGATATTATAGTAATTTAAATAGTTGAGATTATGAGTCAATTGAAGTTAGACCACCACGGCAAATCTTGAAGTAGTGGACGGCTGTTTCGTCCTACTGTGGGACTCCTCAGCACTGCTCATGCACGATCCCGCCTCACGAGATAACTAACCTAGGACCTATCATTTAAGATAGTGTACATCAGACGATGAGAAAAATTTCTTTTCGCCCGAGGTGGATTATTGAATTTCTATCTAACATTTTCTTTATTATAAAATGATATGAATTGCATAAAAGACTTAACTAACCAGGATTCTAGGAGTAACGAAAGCATAAAAGTCTTTTGTAAACCATCCTGCCGCACTTCTCCATCTTCTTGTGATCTTTTGGATAGTGTTGGTACTGTGAAAAAGACGTTCAAAATATCAAAACCTTGCAATACAAGCACATAAGTTCTTTAAAAAATATTCCTTCGAAAGAAAGCCTGGTGATAACGCTACATAAAACAGTAGTTTTCAAGAATTATTCAAATAGATTTGTATGGTGAACCGAACATCAAATATTAGGGTCATCATTTTAAGTAATCGTTTATTTATTGATCGTAAATATTGGTAAAAAGGGGCATCGAATATATATGCCACACACAAGTCATTTGATTTGTGTGTGGGCTGGGATACTACCCTGGTGCCCAAACCGAAGCACATGGTTTTGTTAGGGGACCACATCCAGAGCCTTCTATATGAAGGTCCAATCCACAAAGCAGTGGAGCAACTTCAGGAGATGCAGTCCCACGGTAATCCGTGACCAACAATACGTTCATACGCCACTTGTTCCCTCAGGATCCTGGAGTTAGTGTGCACCATTGGTTTAGAATTAGGGTTTTCCAACTCATCTCTGCTGATCCTCCATATCCACCAACCTGTTTAAAGCGCCAAACATACGCTTAATGTCCTCTCAATTTCGTAAGCAACACGCCTGGTGCGAGAAAGCAGTGGGTAGGATTCCCCTGGCAGTGACTGTATACTCATTGGCATGTGAGGGCATTTCGAGAGAGAGAGAGCCGACTCTCCTCACTCTCGGTCGTACCATGGCATTTTCGAGACTAATTATACATAACATATGTGTGAAATCTACCTTTAAAGATTAGTACAGAGCTTCTATAATCATAATATCATTACACAAGTAAATCAATCATATGCAAATAAAAAATAACTTTGGTTCTAGAGTTTTGATTTTTTTGACACCGAGACACATCAGTTACAGATCTAACTTATATGTTCACATGGTTAGGTTTAGCCTATCTGTCAATGATTACTTGCATAGTACTGTTCACTAATCTAAATAAAATTATCATTGCAATAATAATATGTATATTAGTCAGCATTGCGCTCTTCCGTTTTAAATCTAGCAGTGAATTCCGGTCACCTAAGGATGGTAAAAACACTGTTGATAGGACATTGAAAACTTGGAAGCACCGGACGGATGTGTACTGCTGAGGTGTCCCACAATAGAACGAAGTGGCCGACCAGTGATTCCAGGTTTTCAATGGTAGTCTGACATTAATCGGTTCATGATCTTAATCAAAAACTTAATAATCTCCACAAACCTAAACTTATATTTCTGTATCAAAAAGTTTTCTAGATTTCTATTGGTTGAATATATAGAAACATGAAATTCTCACCTCGGAACATAATTTCCATATTGATCTTTGTATTTTGGCTTACGTTTATCGTCCCTGGGAGTTCGAGCTGTCCCATTTGGAAAGCGCATAAAAGGGAAGCTGGATGATGAAAATCCCTAAAATATAATAAATTTTAAAAATGTTAAGTAATGACTATACAGAATCAGTATAGTATATATGAGATTGTATATACCTGTTCATATTTACAACACCAACATGTCAACAATATTAACACTAGTTTCAGATAAATAACTGAATAACACTATAAAGAAAGAACTGATTGACATTTTGTAAATGAAGCAATTACTGTATAATTCTCAAATTTTACTGAGATGCTAGTATGTTCTAGTATGGGATTTCTCAGCTGTCCAGTGCTTCCAGTTTTTCTATGATGGTCTAACTTGAAGTGATTGATCAATTCAACTATAAAATTAACAAGTAACTTATGTCATGTTAACGTAGCCCTTAGTGCTGATCAAGTTTTAGCGGTTAGTTATCAGCGTGGTGACCGGTTGAAATGATTCGATATTCTATGATTTTTTCGTTAGTTAGAGACAATGACGAGGTCATAATAAAAAAACTCGACATTAAGATACTTCATGTTTTCATGAAAAATGTGTAACATGCTAAATATATTTTGATAGAGTTTTGTTCTCTGAGCTGCATAATCCTTTGGTCTTGGCCCTTTCATCGTTCTTCTGAACGATGAGTGCGAGTCTTCCTGAAGTTTGTGTTGATGATGTTGTTCAGAAGAACAATGTAAGCTTCACGACCAAACTATCCAGCCCAGAGAACAAAACTCCATCAAAATCATCCATTTGAGCTACAAATCTTCTTCACCATCTCAATATTAGATATATTTCAATATAATTGTTCAGTGATCTCAATGAATAGAAAAAATACTCTTTATCTTATCAAAATAATAGATGAACTTACAAGTGCATGACCAATTTCATGCAAGAAAATTCCAAGTGAATTTCTATCTTCAGGATAATCAACTCCCATTTTTCCTGGGCACACATTTACAAATCCAAGAATTGGCCTAAAGTATTAAGTAGTATCAATATATGGATATAAAACAATGAATGAATTGTTCTCAATTAAAGTAATTAAATAAGTAGTTACATTACAATTTGATTTTGTAATCGAAATTTATCCAGTATTACATGAAATATTTGCTTCCATAGACATTGTAGATAGTTGGGTAGTTGGTTTAGTGACATAATATCTTATGTAATTTATGAATGAGTGTTTTTTGCTAATGGGATTACAAAAAAAATCCTTAGTTCAAACCTATCTACTTTAGAGTTGACAATTTATTTTCTTAATTACTTACTTACTTACATCTGTTACTCCTCGTGGACGGGCATAAGCCAACCACCAGCACTTTGTCCCTGTCCCAAAAAATATTTTCCACTTCTTTTCAATTGTTATTTATCCTTTTCATGTTTACTTCCAATTCTCATTGAAGTATGTTCTTTGGTCTTCCTCTTTTTCTCTTCCTTTCACGATTCCAATTTAGGGCATGCCTCATGATGCAGTTGGGTGATTTTCGTAATGTATTTCATATCCATTTCCATGAACTTTTCCTAAGTTCCTCTTCAGTTGGAATCTGGTTTGTTCTCTCCCACAGTAGGCTGTTGCTGATGATATCCGGTCATTGGATGTTGAGTATCTTGTGTAGACAACTATTTATAGATACTTGTACCTTTTTGATGATGATTGTCTTAGTTCTTCACGTTTCAGTTCCGTACTGTCCAATGTATTCCGTGCTCCCACTCAGATTTCGAGGTCTTCATAATCCAGTCGAACGCCAGAAGAAACAGGAAGGAAGAGAGTAGACAGCCTTGTTCGACTCCGGTTCTTGCTTGGAATGCATCGGTCAGCTGTCCTCCATGCACGACCTTGCACTGTAGTCCGTCTTATGAGTTACGGATAATGTTGACAGTCTTTTCAGGAACTCCATAGTGTTAACGAAATTTACATAATGTTCTCTTGTCCACACTGTCAAAATCCTTGTCATGGTCAACGAAGGTGATGTATAGTGATGAGTTCCATTCAACTCATTGTTCGACAGTGATTGCACGACCGATCCCTACGGAATCCAGCTTGTTGATCTTGAATTTGCGTGTCTACTGAATCTTTCATCCGGTTCAGCAACACTCTGTTAAAGACTTTCTCTGGTACTGACAGTAGTGTGGTGTCTCCGTAATTTTCACATTTGCTCAGATCTCCATTCTTTGGAATCTTGATGAGGTGTCTTTCTTTCCAGTTCGTCGGCACCCGTTCCTCCTCTCAAAGCTTCGTGAATAGAAGGTGAAGCATGCTTGTAGTTACTTCGATGTCTGCCTTTAGTGCTTCATCTGGTATGTTGTCAAGTTCTGCTGCCTTCCCATTCTTGATTTGTCTGATGGCGATTCTGATTTCCGCGATTGTTGGTGGAGTGATATCTTTAAGAATGTCTGTGTTTCCTGAACTGGGATAAATCACTCTTAAATAAAATTCAAGGATCAAAGAATGAATTGTACTAATTATCAATTTTAATTTAATGAACTTAAAGTACCAATAAATGGATAAAATTAGAAGGTAATTCCTTAACTTTCACAATATTATCGTAAATATTTGACTTAAGAGTAGTATAGTTAAAAACATTTGTCTTTGAATAAGTAATTCAGTCATTTTTTTTGCCTAAAACAAGAATATGCTCTAATAAACAAATCTAATTACCTATCTGTTTCCTCATCCATTAAACATGATGATGCAAATGCTGCTGTACTACCTGAACAGGTACGCGTATTTATAGCGTCAACAAGTAGGATATAACCGGCAGATGGTATTCCACTTCCATTATTGTAAGTTCTGTGTAATCGGTTATAATATTCTTGATAACATTCCTGAAAGGTAATCATGATAAAATTATTAAATCTTAATATTCTAAACACAAATAATAAAATATAGACCATTGAGATGGTGGAGAAGATTTGTAGCTCAGGTGGATGATTTTGATGAAGTTTTGTTCTCTAAGCTGGATGTTTTGGTCGTGGAGCTTCTATTAGAAGTTTGTGCTGATGATGTCATTCAGAAGGACGATGAACGCTCCATGATTAAACCATCGAGCTCAGAGAACGAAACTCCATCAAAATATACATCATTGTTTTACGAATTGAAATCTAGTTCAAGTAATCTCATTTTAACGTATATAGAGCTTGAATAACTCCTGAAGATGATTAGTTGTTTTTTATTCAATTCTCGTTGAATAAACGTACATAATCTTAAAGGATGATCCAATAACTTAAACAGTGTTGTATCTAATCTCTGTTCAGGCTATCATAGCTGTTGTATGACAAAAGTCATACACCGAATTTTGAGAAAGAGTATTTACAATTATGATAATATTAATATGCAAATAAATATTTTTTTTCTAACGAGACTACATTTCAATATTGATTCTATAATTATCCCGGCTCGGTGATCTAGAAGATAAGCGTTCGTGTGCGAGACCGAGGGTTCTAGGTTCGAATCCCGTGAGCGGAATCGTAGATGTGCACTGCTGAGCATTCTGTATTTCACATCTCCAATCACTTATAAGAAATGAATTAAAAATCTAATACACATCTCATTGTTGCATTTTAAATATCTACTATATTTATAACAGTAGAAATATTACACCTATACTCATACTCACCCCTACATACTGATCTGGAATTTTCACCTGTCCGCACAGAACATCGCGTTTGCACATCGACTGACGACAAAATATGGAATTATTCCCAATAGCTGTGTAATAGTATCCGCTTTCACAATACCTTGATGAAACAAAATAAGAATGTTGTTCAGTTAAGAAATTCATCTATTAAGTTTTAATCTAGAATAGTGAATTATTTATGTTACTTAATAGGATACCTTGAAACATTGAAATGACAAGAATGACAAGTGTGACAAGAATGCTGATGATTACACATCGAAAACAAGTAAGCCAACAGTAAAATCACCTTTTCGCTAGTTGTTTTCCACTTCCAGGTTTCTTGACTGTCAATGCTTCTTCCCAATACTTTATTGCTGCTCGTAAATATATCTGTAAAAATGTAAAATAACACAAAGTATTACATTATTAATTTTATTAATTGGGATCATGAGTCAATCGAAGCTAGGACATCATAGAAAACCTAGAAGCACTGACGGCCGTTCCGTCCTATTGTAAAACTCCTCAACAGTGCGTATCCACTATCCCGCCTCACGAGATTCCAACCCAGATCCTATCGGTCACACGCGCGAGTGCTTAATCTCTACACCATTGAGCTGGCCGGCATCCAATGACATTATTGACTTACTGCAATCAATCCACGAAGTTGCACCACCATCCACCATTGTTATCACTGAGTTATTATCTCACAACAGATTCGGTTGAACTCCACTAATCAGTGCTTTTCACTAGAACTCCAGGAAATACTTCTTGAAGCCAGTCACTAGTGAGTATATGTTGATTAACATCAAAAAGGGTTTTTGTGAATATTATATTAATTTTAATAGTTGAGATCATGAGTCAATTGAAGCTACAGCATCATGGAGAATCTGGAAGTACTGGATGACCGCTTCCTCCTACTCATTACTTCAACAAAAATCATATTAATCAAAACTTAAAACTGTTACAATTAAATCATTCATAGAAACTATGAAAAACATTATTGTACTGAGAAAAATGTTTGTCATAAATCATGTGAATTACTGAGAGTTTAGCATGATCTTTCATTGTGTAGAAATTTTGAGTAAAATGCGTATAAAACTTTAAATGTTTTGGCGCTGTATTCCGTCTATCGACATCATTCGAATGTACAGCAACAGTATGATCCTAAAATTTCAATCAAATTCTCTAATAATATTCAATCTACCAATTTCACTAAAGGAGGTGAACCACAGAATGATGTCGAATTGACAATATGACATATGATCAAAATGAAAAACCATTTAATGAATAAATGAATAAGCATATCTGTTAAGTATGGTGGTAACTAACTTATGTCATATATATACATGTTGTTGTCTGAAGTTCACAGACCAATCTAATGTCTTCGGTCTATCTCTTTTGTTTATTTTTCATTAATACTTTTAACAGTTTCGATGGAGATTAAAACCAATTCACACAAAAAAAGAGAAGAAAAGAGAAAAGAAAAACGAAAGAAAAAATAATGTAGATTTACCATTTGTCTTAAATTCAAAGATTCTGGACAATTTGATTTCATTGTTGATTCTCTTAACTTGAATAAGTTTAACTTTGTTTCAAAACAAAATCTTCCCCCATTGCGAAACATTGACTGAGTTTGGTCATAATGAAATCAACTTTGCTTTATCCATAATATTATGATTTTTGTAATTATTAATACTTTTTGGACATTTAAATGATTCTAGTAAACGGATAAAGAGAATAGTTGATATGCCATCAAATTACCTACCACCTGGTGAGTGAAACTGATACTAAAGAAGTATTAAACAATCAAATAGATAGAATGATGAAATTGGAATATGCAATCACTTGAAGTTGTCAACAAATACAAAACCGTTCAGACAATTTAAAACAACCCAGGGTGTAAACCTTATAAGACTTAATTCAATGAAAAAGGTATCATTGTTTACTTACAATTGAAATGGAATTACAAAATGAATAACTTTAACAATATCAGGTGGTGATGAGATGTAAGATGTTTTGGGATAAACACTTGATATCTATTGAACATAATTAAACACGAAGTTAACCATATAAACTTACTTAATTAATTTCGCTTTTTACTCCTAATGAACCATAGGCCGCCGACCAGTATTCTCCAACCGACCAGCTATATTAAAGTTATCAGTAAAAAATAAACTAGAATAATAAATGGAGTAAAAGACGTGAGAAAGTAAGTAAGGAAGTAAGACTTATCACTCCATTAAATGCTATCAAAAACTGAGAAAAAAATAACTTTTCTATTTCAACAGAAACTAGAACTGATGAAACTATTGTTCAGGAGTGTAGGTACACATGAGATTGGGCGCAGTTTTAAAATTTAAATAAGTGTTGCTATGCACATCCTCAAATGAATGGAAAAGTAAATCAATTCGCAAGATTTAACAGATCTTGATTGAAAACAACCATTCAATCACAAAAGATTCGTCATTAAAGTTTGACAAAAGTGATTTGAAGACAATTTCTTCTTTTGAAAAGTCGATTTCATTGGATCAAACCTGAGGTATTGCGAACAGAATAATAAATTGTATAGTCAGTAAATGAAATAGGTATGAGTAGTAGTATATCAATCTGATTGTAAGGCTTTGAATCACTTATATTTATAAATGACTTATTCCAATCAAACAATCATTCGTGTTTTCGTTGTGTTATGCATATTCTGTGTTTTTAAATGTAGTTCTCTTATTAATTAAAATAAATCACTATTCCCTAATCGGTCATTGTATCTTCTGATATTCGTGTATTATGTGCACGGAATCAGTTGTTCAAAGTTATGTTTAATTAACGTCAGGATATAATTTAATCAAACTATCAATCGAGTTCAGTATTCATAGACGATAATTTTGTCATTGACTATCTCATTTACCTACACCTTTTACTTCCAATAGAGTATAGGCTGCCGACCAGTATTCTCCAACTCACTCCGTCCTTGATCTTCCTTCCTACTTCTATCTAATTGTTGTTCAATCTTCTCATATCTGTCAACATTTCTCTGCGTAATGTTTCTTTGGTATTCCTAGCCTCCTTTGGCCTTCAAAATTCCAACTAAGGACTTGTCTTGTGAGGCAGCTGGGTGATTTTCTCAATGTGTGTCTTATTCACTTCCATCGATTCTTCTTGATTTATTCTTCCGCTGGAATGTAGTTTGTCCTCTCCTACAATAGGTTGTTGTTGATAGTGTCTGGCCAATGGATCCGAAGTAGACAACTGTTAATAAACACTTGTATCTTCTGGATGATGGGTTTCGTAGTTCGCCAAGTTTCTACCCCATACAATAGAACTGTGTTGACATTTGTACTGAAAATTCTGACTTTGGTGTTGATTGACAGTTGTTTTGATATATAAACTGACTAGCAAGTGTACTGAAAAATCCGGCAGTCAACTATCATTCATGAAAATGTAAATGTTCGTTAACTATCTATTTGGAACAGAAGTTCTAATCATCAATAGAATGTAATTCATTACTTGAATTCATGAACCAATGGAAGCTAGATCATCATGAAAAAATTGGAAGCATTGAACGGCTATTTCGTTCTGGTATAGGACTCCTCAGCAGTGCTCATTCACGATCCCGCCTCTCAAGATTCATATTCAGGACCCGATTCATATATTTAGAAATTAATTATTAGACTTTAATTGAATATTGGATCTGTTGAACCTCACAATCTTCCCGAATTACTGTTGAAGTCAATTTATACTATAAAGTTCCATCAGATTTATTCAAAAATAAATATGCAACAATTTTTTTTCTATATTTAGACTAAGTGTAGTCGAAGTACGAAACAGATTCCCTGAAAATTCCCTAGTCACATTTTCGATTTATATTATTCAGTGTAATAATGCCTCCATCTCTCGGTTTAGCTACAATCTCACATTTAGAATTTAAAATGCTTCCTAATATTGAATATCAGTTTAGAGGTTGTGGAGATTGTTAAGTTTTTGATTGAGATCATGAACCGATTGATGTTAGACCACTATTGAAAACCTGGAAGTACTGGACGGCCGTTTCGTCCAATTGTGGGACTCCTCAGCAACGAGACTGAAGGCCCTGAGTCGAATCCCGTGAGCGTGATCGTAGTTACGCACTGCTGAGGACCCCCACAATAGGACGAAACGACCGTCCAGTGCTTCCAGGTTTTCAGTGATCGACTAGAATCAATTGGTTCATGATCT